TTTAAGATGTGATAACCTAATAAAGTAATCAAATAGTCAACTTCTCAAGTGGTAAATTGGGTGTTCAAATTCTATCAATATTAAAAATTTGAATAATTATCTATATAATATTTGTATTATAATAACTATTACTAATGATTAAGTTAGAATATCTGTAATAGTAGTTGCAACAGCATAATTGGCAGGTCATGAGGTATTTATGTAACTTGTTATACAGAAGAATACAAACTAACAAATTAAGTAGTATAAATACTAGATAAATTCTTGTGACTATATAAATCTGTTGAAATTAGATAACAAAAAGTTTATTTAAAAAGACTTAAAAAAAAAGATAGTCAGATCTTTGATGACCTTACTGTAAAGACTAGCTTGAGGAAACAGATACCAAATTCATAGTATTCAATTATAGTAACTGGATGTTAAGAATCTTTAAGTTGGAAATCTTGAAGATACTACCAACCAGACTGTTAGAATGAACTAAAGAAAAAGAATATTGAATCAAGCTAATATACTGATAGACTAGTTATAGTCTTACATAAACTATCTAGATTAGAAATTTGGTAAAAAGACTAGACAAAAAACAGAAGTATACTAAAGTACTGGAATTATGCTGTGAAGTAGATGCTAGGGTCTGTATAAACTTTACAAAAACACAACAGTTAAATAATATAACTTTGATTATAAGTGTTAATTCTGCTATAGTATTATCTAGACCAATTATAAAAATAAATATAAAAAACTCTGGAAGGTTTACTTTAAAGATAAATTAGTCCTAAGATTAAAATAATGATCCGAGTATCTGGGTATGACCCAGTGAGTTAATACAGGTTACAAATTCAAAAGGTTTAAAGTAAAACACTCAAGCAGAAGTGTTAGATATAGCAATTAATAGAAAACCTTTGAATGGACTCCTTAAATAGGTAATATAAAAAAATTACATGTATAGCCAATTGTACTCTCTTCTGTAGTAGTTCATAAAATTACATTACCAATAAGTTGTTAATAAAAGTCAAAAGACCAAAAAGGTTACTTTAACACCAAAAAAAAAATAATAATAATTCTAATCTTATTTTTTTTTAAAAAATCAATTTTATAAAAAAGATTTTCCAAAAACATCTATAAAATATAATACCTAATATAAAAAATATATATAACATATTAGATTAAAATAAGTTAAAATAAAGCAACTACATTAATTTTCTTAATAAAATTTTGATATTACTAATTTTTTTGTTTTTTTTTTCTTATATCAGGATATGTACATATCAGATACTAATAGAAATTCTTCTTTAAAAAATTAGACTTTTTGCAAAACATAGCTTACACATTATTCTAAGTTAGAATGATAATACTCATATCACATGATCTGAAAAAATTTGGATAGTAAATTTTACGAGTCTACTAACTTTTCCTCCAAGTTATTGGTCATGAGTAAATTGCATTTATAATTTAGGTGAGACTGTTCCAAATTAGGAAATTACCATCTGAGTCATTTGATTGTTATACAATTAATAACTAAATTTTTTTTTATATATTTTAAAATATATTCTGACCAATGAAATTCGCAAATTTTGATAAGCAAAGATAAAAATTTATTAAATTTTGTGTGCACATCATAGTAACTTAATATTTTATAATAATGTAGTAATGTGAATGTAGTAATGAAATGGTAATATTGCAATAGTATTTAATATAAATTAAAATCTTTATTTAATATAAATAATAAATAATTACAACTCAAAAATGAATTTTTCACATGTTCTAATAAATTTTCTAATGTTACTGTATTATCAATTGCTGTCTTATCATTATTCAAATCATCCTCAGCTATGTTTTCAAAATCTTCATTAATAAATTCATTTTTATCCAATTTTTTTTTTATACTTATCTTCAATGCATTGATATTTTTTGCTATTTCACTATGAAGATAATTTAAATATATTAAGCATTTACCTTGACATTTCTCTAGGCATTGGTCATGGTAGCCATGCCCACATGCGAGAACTCTACCACTATTCGAATAGTTAGTGAAACCAGTATGACTACAATACAAGTAATTGCATAAGACTGTAGTGAAAGGTTTTCTGACAGTAATGAAATCTCTTGAAAGATAACGATCCATTATTTCGTAATCTAAAGAAGACAATTTATATGAGTTAATATCATCAGCTGATGTTTTAATAATAGAAGGATATATGTGACGAGCTTGATATATTTTTTTAAATATATCTAAAAGTTCTATAGCACATTTTTGATAAAGTATGTGCAACTGCTTAGGCGAATATGGATAATTGATGGAATTCATAAAATATTATCGAAAAGTATTGTCTTCTCGATGCTGAAAAATGAATTGTACTTCCCTTTGCAACTGTTCTGTCTCGAAAAACTTGAATATATGTTATCTAATAATGCTGTGAATTATTTCTACTGAACAATCACTTAAAGAGGCGAGATAGTTAGTAATCATATTCATTATTAAATGATTAGTTTCCATCTAATAAAAGATATCTGAAAAAAACATTAAAGGTGCATGTTTATAATTTCTTTGATTAAATCAAAGAAAAAGATTGCTTCAGCAATGCATACAAGCTTTTTTGTAAGCTGGCCAATTACCTTCCTGATGGTGTACCACATAGATGTCGAGAACTAAAGGAATTAAATTACTCAAAAGATCAGTTAAATATAAAAATTCAATATTTTTACATGTATGACTAAACTTCGAATAAACTATATCACCGATTTCAAGCTATGCTATACACATAATATGAAGGATTAAATCAATTTGCCATGCCTGTGGCTTTTTATCAAGCTCTTTTTTTTTTCCAAAATATAACTTTGTAAACATCGTTAAATAAAAAACAATTTTTTAAAAAAACGAGTTCATGACTGTTCAAAGAAACATATAAAGGACCTATTATCAGTAAAAATGTTGTAACGAATGGAGGAATGATTTCACTGTTGAGAAGAAACTGATGCGTAATGGCTTTTTGAATAAAGAACTGCCCAGGCCAGTCCACAATGATTGGAATTGCATGATTAGAAATATACTCTTGCATTGGTTCTTGATCATAAATGATTTGAAGAGCTTTCATATAGTTTTTAACACTTTTCAGGTTCCTCTCAACAAAATCAAAAAGGATGGCATTCTGTATATGTCTATCATTCTTTTTCTCTACCAGTCTATCATTGTAACTGTGTAGTGTTAATCTCTCAATAAGCTCATTATCAGGAGATTTACCTATGTAATTTCTGCTACGATCATTATAAGAGACACCGAGATTTTCAATAAACCATTCATTGAGATGCTTCACGATTAGCTCATTATTAACTATTTTTAGATTAAGCATCCTATTATATAGTAATGCTAATGTAAGGCATGGATTCATAATAATTGTTGCCATATGTGTAGCCCAAGATGTATTGGTAGTATCAGGTTGTTTTTGAACATGAATATTGTAATAATCATCAATATTCAATACAAAAGCATTTCCTGGCCAATTTTTGAAAGATTTTTTGACATATTTCCCATAAGCCTCTGAAATTTGTTTCTTTTTATGATCTACCGACCTTGCAGTTGTGATTATGCCGATATTAGCTAGCATATTCAAACCTTCATTACTTGTATCTATTGAATCTAGATAATAAGCTAAATCGAACTTAAAAGAATTAATTCTTGAATTATTTAATGATGCAAGAAGATAATACAAAAAGACCATTAATCTTTTCATACACCCCATTGTCTGCTCGCAACGTTCAAATGGTTGAGCTAATGAATAAAGTTAATCGAAAAAGGTTTTCAAGCTTGGATCGATTTGTGAAAGTAATTCTCACATTTCATCAAATAAATATATAGGACTTTCTTTTCGCATATGTTCTCTCTCATAAAAAATTTGTGCTATAGACCTAATAACTTCAATAAAGTTAAACATACTTTCCTCCTCCTTGTTTATGACCTCTACACTAGTTTAATTACATTGACATTGGTTTCAATTTCTTCAACAAAAAGTTTTGCTCATTTGATTTGTCTTAATTGATTCTGTATACAATTCATGTAACAATTATGACATAATTTGTCACCTTCTACTCAAATATTCTTGATCAAACCATTAGCTTTGGCCTTCTCTTATTTATTTCCTGCTAACGAATGAAATTAACAGGATTTAGTAGTTTTACATTTCATATACTTCTTAATTTCGGACATATTGTTATTAAGTAAATTAAAATATAATATCAACTGAATCAACTTAAATCAACCAATTTTATTAAAATATAGTGCAAAAGCTTCAAGTTTGCTTAGTATGTTCGTTCACTTTTCATAGAAGAGATATGTTACCCAAAGCCTTTAAAAAAGTATTGTAAAATGTATAAAAAAAATCTTTAATTAATTGTGTAACGATCTACAAGATCGGGGCACTCGGGACGGTCTCCCCTGAACATTTATAATTGGATAAAATCGACGAACTTTAATAACGTGATGCATATACAGCGAATCATCAGGTGTAACATAAAAATTAATATGAAAAGACTCAAAATTTCGCCTAAGGTACTAGCAAAAAAAATTCCTTGCAAGATTTTGCTATAAAATAGTCGATTAATTCAGAAATTGAACTTAATTTTTTAAGGATAAAATGACATGTAATTTGGTGAGAATATTTCCAAGTAAATCCGAATTTTACCTGACAGTAACTAAACTAGGAAAACGGGAACCGAAGCATAAAATTTTGTAACTCGATATAATAAGCTCGTGATGTACAGCCAATCAGGGATGGACAATAATGCAAATCAGTTTCACGAATTTTAAATTTGACAGAAAATTTGTACTATCGATTCATATTACAATATCCAACATAATTTTTTTTACTAAAAATAGATTTACTACGATTTTTCCTAATTAAAATATCGTGTAAAAATGGCTCGGAGGGTCATTTTGTTAGCAAAGCTCTCATATATCAATATCAATATCGATATAATACGCATATACTTGAAACCAAGAAAGGGCAATGCATTCAATCATTACGACGTGTACTATTGTATTCTTATACTGGCTTATTTTTTCAGTATCAGTGGAGAATGCGCAGGAGGCTAGTAAGCAAACACAGGTACTTCTTTTACTTCATAACTTTTAAATTTTATCTATAACTGAAAATTTCTAAGATTCCAGAGTCCACACCGAATTGTTTCTCAATGGATTGTATGAATAAATATCAACGTTATTTACTTTTAAGAAGAACAAAATGGAATACCATTAAAGAAAATAAAACAATTACCGAACTCGATAAAAAAGCCGAAATAGACTTGATAAATGATGAACTTTTACAAGCAGAGGGGTTCAAAAATTTGACATTTGGATTAATCAACATTTTTGACAAACTAATCAATGATAGTTATTCGATCGAGGTGTCAAATTCTTTCTATGGAGAAACTTTACTGCTTATTTCAAAATTTTATTATAATACTTTGAAAACTAGTGGCTCGGATTTTTTGCAGAAAATGTGGAACCAAAATGTAAATGAGGGTGATCATGAGCATGAAGCGATAACGGATGATGATGATAGCTATGAACATGGTCGTCATCGCGAAAATATGGCTTCTGACCTAGTTAATAACTTTCTGCAAGAGGTAGGCGTTGAAGCAGATCGTTTGGAGAAGAACATGCATAATCATAAGTTTACAGATAATTCTAAGATGCATGGGTCTCTTGATATGGTTGTCAAATTAGAAGATGAAGACGAAGATGGAAAAAAACAAAGTATTGAATTGTCTCAAAGTGAAGAATCGCGCCATCATAGTTCTAACAAAGTAATGATGCTAGTTGATCGTGATAATAACGAATACATTCTTATGAGGCCAAATGATTTGTCTATGTTCTATGAAGGTGAAATTTAATTTATTGTTCTTTAATACATGTTACAAATTATTTATTTCAGTTTATTATATTTTATTTTAGACGGAAGGCTTGTGCATGATTTGATTTTCATACTTGTTGTTGCCTTTGTTATTGGTTGGATATTTAATAGCTTTGGGTTGCCAGGTAAATTAGTCAACTTTAGAAATAATATTTACAATACACTGAAAAAACAGACTAATATAGATATCGGCGCAAACTTATTATAATATAGCATTTTTGGGTTACATAGTTGCTGGTTGTGTTCTCGGTCCTGCTGGATTCAATATGACTCAGGTGTTTAAATAATTTACTAATGTAACAAATATATTTGCATAATTGGCATTTATTCATTTAACCATTTATAATTGAATTATAGGAGCTTATTCAAACAGAAACTCTTTCGCAATTTGGCGTTATTTTTATTGTTTTTATGTTAGGATTGGAGTTTTCGTTTAATAAGCTTAAGTCAATATGGCAATTTGCACTAGGCAGTGTTACTATGATCTTCGCTTTAATCGTTAGTCTGTCGGTTTTTATAGGATTTGTTATAGGTGCTAAGACAAATGAGGCAATTTTTGTAGGCGCATGTGTGTCGCTCTCAAGTACAGCTATTGTGAAAAGATTAAATTGCAAAGAGCTTGAGTCGTTACACGGTGTACTTATAGTACAAGATATTTTATTTGGGGTATTGCTGGTAGGCATTTAACATAATTATTGAATAAATATAACATATTGTTAACTAATTGTAATTATTATTTATATAGGCTTCGCTGCACGCTTTTTCCAAAACTGACATTGAAGTTATATTGACAGCAGGACACTTGATACTGTCCATGGTACTATTTTGCATATTTAGTCTTCTAGTTGCAAATTTACCTATTTCTTGGATTTTAAAAACTATTAAAGGGTCCAATAAGCATGAGCTTTTTCTCCTTGGATCCATATCTTTATGTCTTATAATGTCACATGTTTCATTTATGCTTGGACTGGGTGTTGAAATTGGATGTTTTATAGCAGGCATATTGATTAGCAACCACAAATCTATAGCCGAATCTTCTATCACACTTGTAGAACCAGTCAAAGACATATTTTCATGTCTTTTTTTCTCAAGCATTGGGCTTCACGTATATCCGAGCTTCTTTATTAATGAAGGAATATTGTTATTTATTCTAACAATCTGCGCAATAGGATTTAAATTCGTTATTTGTAGTGTAACTTTAATGGTATTTGGACACACTTTTGAGCGTGCCACCACAATGGCTATTGGGCTGTCTCAGATAAGTGAATACGTTTTTATCCTTTCCAGCCGTGCCAAAAGTCTTGAAATTATATCAAGGGAGGTTTACTATGTAATTTTAGCAGTAACTTCTCTAACTCTAATAGTTACGCCTATATTATGGAATACGATATATAAAAGACAGAAGGATATTCCAATAGGAGGTTATCGATTGTTAACAAATGATTCTGATCTCACAATATCATTACCAACAAATAACATAGGAAAAGCAGAATAATTTATTTTTTGACCAACTATAAATTTAGATTAATTATTGGATGTAGTAGGCTCGAAAAAATATTCAAATTTTTCAATGAACGTATTGTAATTTTATGTAAAGAGCATTTTCCAGAATTTGATCGTTATCGAAGTGACACTAATATAATTCCTGTAGATATCCCTTAGTTTGTATACAAATTTCGGGCAAATTTGCCTCTAAATTTTTAAAAAAGAATTTTTAAAGCTTTTTAATATTTAATATATTTAATTTATAATTAAGGATAAATGTATACGTCACATACTGTGATGTGCTTATACATCACATATATTTACAAATTATAATTTAACAACTGAAATAAACTAGTTTTTTGTTTAATTAGAATTAGGGTTATGTAGGATTAAATGCAATAAACAAAAAGGATTTATAGTAAAAATTTTCAAGGAATTTTTTTGTTAAGAGTACGAAAGATAGTTTCATATATGAAAATTTGAGTTATAAGTGACTTTTGTCAAAGCGAACGTTTGTTTGAATCTTCCTGATCGTGCTACGTTACACCTGATATAGAAATTTGATTGGCCAATCATTAATATGCGATGTATAAGCACATCGCGGGGTTGCGACGCCTAATTAAGTCCTATAATTAAAATATTAGTTTTGTTTTTTCAATTTTTTTAAAAAAATTATAATTTGTTTTAAAAAATTCATAAAAAATTATACCTAATTTTCGTCAGGTGTATCGAATATTTAATTTTAAAATTGATTAATTGCAATTACTTGATTTTAATTAATTAATAAATTAATTGTAAATTTTATTAAAGTTTTTTTTCATTTTTTATTTATTTCTTTTTATTATTTTGAAGGTTCTTAGACACCTTTAGGATCTGTCACATTTCTTTAAAGATCAGAGTTATTATTCAATGAAGATTATCAGATGGCCATTAACATTTGTATTCATCATGTTCAGTTAAGTCTATTATAGATGTTTCAGGTTTCTGACTTCTTGGTAAAGGAACTACTATCTTTATTTAATTTGCAGTTCTTTAACTTTACATAATTTATCAGTTAGATTATTTTTTTTTTCTTAAGAGTCATGTTAGTACTTTATTAAGATTTTGAAATTACATTTGCAATTATATAAATATCCTTAACAATTAAGTCTAGCATTACCTAGTTACTTTAATGATATCTAAGTGCAGCTTGTTGTATTATTTTAAACAAAAATAAGTTACTTGTTTGATTACTTAAAATTTATATTTTAAAATTGTCTTCTGTGTTTCTTTTTCAATTTATTTTTATTTTTTTTTCTTATATTCTTTGTTAATTTGACTTTTTCTTTTACTTAGTTCTTTCTTCTTTTTTGTCTTTTTAAACTACTTGTTATTCTTAATTTTCTTTCATATTTATTAATTTTTTTATATCAGATTCTTTATATCTGTTTATAAAATGTATTTCAAGTTATTCTTATTATTATATTTACAAATTGCTATTTTAATTTTATATTAGAAGTTATTTTTTTTTTTTTTTTTTTTCCCCTTAAGTAGTTACGCTAGTACTTTATTAAGATTCTTGAAACTATATATTTATACAATTGCATAGAATTTCTCAATATCTAAGTCTAGCAT